CCTGCATACTTAACAGTAACTGGAGGCAAAGAGTCCTCCAGGTACAGGGAGAATAATAAATTACTCTCATAGTGTTTGTGAAAGGAACAGAAAAAAGTCACATCTCATTTCATGTCCATTATTAATAATGTGAGGCTTTATGTAAATACTCTGATGTTACACATGGCATCTATTGAAAATGTGGAAGCTCAAGTTTCAGATCCTAGAAGACACTGATGCATCTTTGTCTATAGCAACATCCTCATATTATAATCAAAATTTCTCACTGAAGATGAAAAAAGGATTAAGTAACACAACCACATTCTGTAGTACTAATTGCTATTGCAAAAGTGTTTATAAGGTGAAGAGGGCAGTGATGCAGCAATACTTGGGTAGACTTTAATTCCTTTATATGGCAGGGGTAGAGGAGTACCCACCTTGGATGCAGCAGACCAACCTTGATGACAGGAAAATAAAGAATGTAGGAGCTGTGCTCTATTGTGCCTGTTCTAAATACCTCCTCCATCAGGAGGAACCCAGTTGGCAACACCCATCTACATCAGCCAGGCACAGCTTAGCTCAGGGGCTTGAAGCAAACCAGACCCTCACCTGCCAGAGCAGTGCCTGGCTCTGAACTCGTGAGGTCAGCAGCTCCATACAGAGCACAAGAAGCTGAAGCTGGCTTTGACTGGTCAAGGGTGGCCTGAGTGGCCCTACCAAGCTTGCTCAGGGATGGCAAACAGCCTGTACAGCTGTTGACTGTCACTGAGCTCTATTACTCCCACCCTGTTTGCTCCAGTCCCTCTGACCATAAGGTTACCCTTTTTCTGTTCAGTGCTGGGTGCTGCTTCCCTCACCATTGAGTCAGTACTGTCCTACACCCAAGTTGTTCTCATGGGCTCCTGCTGTGTAGAACCCAGATCCCAAACTCAGGAGACCAGGGAAGCATGTACATTTGGATACACCTGCAGGGATCCATCTGGATCTGGCAATACCGTTCCTAATGGTAAAGCAGAAAACTGCTGACCTTTGAGGGACTCCTCACAGAGTCAGCTTCAGACTCCATTCAGCCTTCCTCTGAATTCCAGAATTAAGAGTGAGGTATTGAAACTCGACATTGGCTCTGCACAAGAAAGACCCATATGGGCATATGGGATCAGCTCAGTTCTGTGGAACTAGAGAATAAACATTCTGCTTCTAACCAGTCCACTGTGTTACAGTCAGACCCCCTGGTACGTGCTGCAGGTGGCCACCCCTACTGCTCTGTTGAACATGAAGTCCTTTTAACATTAATGCCTGTTAATCATACAGACAAAGATTTGGTTCAGGAGACACTCAAGCAGGAAAAAATAGAGTAGCTAAATGTCACCGGTCCAATACACTGCTCTTACTTCCTGTAGGCAATCACAGTAAGCAAGCAGATTGTGTGTCTTTTATCTGGCTACGTTTTTCCCATAATAGATGCAAATTTCTGCTTGTCACAATAAAAACAGTAATTGTATCTGAAACAGCTTTCACATTGAATCTGTTATTTTTTCAGAAGTTTAATTAACTTTTGATTGCTATAACACATTTCTGTGTCTGTTTTGTAATTGTATGAAGGACTAAACAAAACACTAATCTATTTTTAATCATGTATTAAATTTTTGTTGCTTTCTTTAAACACAACTAGCAGATAAAATCAACTGCTAAAATCACAGAACTGTACTTCCACAACAGGAACATCAGCCTTCACTGCAAACAATTCTGAAATCTGTGTGGACACTAAATTGGCTCTGCTGGAAGAGCTAAAGAGGTGGACCAACTCTGATGCTACAGAACTGGAGCTGAAGAAGCCATGACCATCCTCAGAAGTATGGTGCAAAGCACAAAAAAAACACAGTACCACCTTCATCTCAATCAACTTCCCCCAGAAGTCTGCAATGGTTCTTTCAAAAGATAAACAGACCCGGGGGGCAGTTTGGAAGGGAAAGTGTATGATAGTTTTCACTCCATCTCTTCTGTTTCTGGTGGCTCTGCATAGGCATTGTGCCATACTTGTGGTCTTTAAAAGGACTGCTCATTTCTGCCATCTGGCTTGTACTAGGGAAATTCTTCATGCCCTCTTTGCTTTTCTTATTTAAATATCTCTGGAGGAAGGAGAATGATGGCTGGGAGGCAGACATACTCCTGACCTCTGAACAGTACTTTGAATAAATCAGTACTAAATACAGTCATCATAACATGTCTTAGACAGTAAAATTATTCTGACACCACCAGCTAATCCTCTCTGCACCCACACCGCTGTTGGGCAGTACCCTGTCTCTTCCAGCTAATCAGCATTTCAGCTAACATTTCCGAGGCTGCACTTGGCTTAACTGGGTCTTGAACTAGACTGAGAAATAGGCTACAAATAATAATCACCACATCTCCAAATATAGGAGCCAGAGAACCTATTTGTGCTATTTTTGATAAGGCAAGTAGCTCAAAAAGAGAAACAAAATAAGTAAACTGGGAGAAAAAGAGAAGAAAGGGGTCACCCTCCAACAGAAAGTGAAGGACTTGACTCAGTTCAAGATGTATGATCATAAACATCACTTCAGAAACAAATCACACTAACACTCTGACTGTCTTGTGGCAGTTTAAACATCTTGGACCAAAGATATGCAATATCTTTTTTTGTTTCTTTGATGATTGACCTGTTGTTTCAACATGAATCCCAGTTTACAAATTACTTTATGGAAATACCTTTACCTTGTGTTGAAAATTTGCAATTCATTGTTGCAAATTCTACTTTCCAGGCCATTCTCTGATGATGAGTCTTTTAACAGCAATCTTTAACAGATGTCACATTCTGTCTCACCCTTCACACCAGCAGTGGCTCCCAAAGAATCCCAGGATTCTTTACTAAATGATTCTAAGTGATTGAAATTTTTTGTTTTGTTGTGCAAAGGAAGAGTTCAAAATTTGGCAGTGGAGAAAATGAAATGTTGAAATCTAATTCTTTCCCTTGACACTCTGGAGCCTTTCAGCTCCATCTGTCCCAAAGGAGGTAGTTCTACCAAGATATAACCCTTGCCAGCAACCTACTTTGTATATTTGCTATCTAAGTGCTGCTGCAGCTTTGTATAGTTTCTTTTCAAAATAGATAGGGGCAACTCTGTCAATGTGATAACTGTGTTGCCCTGTTCTTTTAAAAGTTTTAAAGTTCTTTTAAAAGAAGTTTTCTATGCCTTTCTATTCCTACTAGAGTTTCTCACACACTATCATGTAAATAATGAGTGGTTTACATCCTTCTTTGTGAGAGGAGAGAATTGATAGACTGTTAGTTTAACCAGTGTGTTTGGAGAGTAGCAATTTTGTCCTCCAATCCACTGTCACTTTTAGAATTCTATATATTGCAAGGTCAGAAATAAAGTTAGTTTCCTTTTACTCTTTTGATCTTAGTGTAAATGTGTGAGTTATTTTGTGTTGTAGTGTGACAACAGCATGAAAGACTAATGATCATGTTTCAGACACCACAGACAAAGGAAAAACAGCCCAGATACATCTTGTCCCTTCAAAGGTCCAGTCAGTTCCTGCCGCTGCCAAATGGTATGCAACGCCAAACTTAATAGTAACAACAAAAACCCCCCAAAAAACATCCCCAGGGAAGAATTCAACCACTTGAGATCATTTTGGTACTGAAAGACAAGGAGAAAGCCGAGTCCCCACACAGGCAGAGCTTCCTTCCAGCATCCACCTACCTCTTGACAAAAGGATTTGTTCAAATATGCATAGAATCACAGAATCACAGTATATCCTGAGCTGGAAGGGACCTATCAGGACCTTCAAGTCCAACTCCTGGCCCTGCACAAGACACCTCAAAAATCACATCATGTGCCTGAGAGTGTTGTCAAAACACTTCCTGAACTTAGATACTTAACCATTCCCACAAAGGGTAAGGAAAAACACACCTCCGCTGCATTTTGTGAGACTGCCATCTGCCCCTCTGAAAGAAAAATGATCTGAAAATAACCAGAAATGTCTTCTGGGTACCATTCTCAAAATAACTACTTTCAGATCCAGTGACAACATGCAGAGAGGATACAGGAAATATTCTGGGACAACTGTCAAATCCAAAACATGCAGAAAAATGTCTTTATATAGTACCTGATAAAAATACCAATATATTTTATGCATGGATATATTCTTTAGATGTCAGGAGGTGTTTTTTTAAATATAAAACCCACAGTCAAATCCAAATCCACGCCTCAAATCTATCCAACAAATTTACTATCATTCCTTGGCCTAAAAAGAGAGGCTCTAAATCTAACAATAAACCAGTAAGACTCAAGAAATTCAAGGTGCAACAGAATTACTTGACTTCCCAAGGAAAAAACTACATAATTCCACCAAGAATCCATACATAAACAATGATGTCATACTCATTTTTTCTATGCAATCTTTCACAGGCTTTTGTATTGTTACTTGAACATGAATAAATGTTCTCCATCATACCCTGGTGTAAATAATGGCACAGCACCAAATAACAATCAATATCTTTATAGCCCTCTATAATCTACTTATTATAATTTGCTCAGACTGTAGAAAAATCCATTTTCCTTAACAATCAATTTATATTGCAAATATATATGGAAAACCCTCTCATTTTAAATGGATTTCTACTTCATTAAACTCTTCTTAATGAGTCTGGGGATACGCTTTCAAGTAAATGAACAGGAGGTACTTAAAATAAAATTAGCTGAGTTTGAATAAGTACATATCGTACAGCTAACAGAAAATTAGCTACTTCATACACTAACCACCTAGTGCAATTTCCCATTCTTCCAGGAAGGTTTGCTTTAGGAAGAACAACCTCGTTGAACACACATCAAGAATCTTCTTTTAAAATGACAGACAGAAGTTTAATATACTCCTGTGTGTAACACTGATTATTCAGAAGTGCATATTGGCCATTGCTGTTCAATAGGGATTTTTGGTAATCTTACTCTACGATTGACTCCAAGTACTAAAAGTCAGCTTCTTACTCACACTGCTATATATTAACTTTTTTATTTTTAAAAAATACAATATTTTTAAACACAGTTGTAGAAATGAAATCTCTAGTCATAAAATGGAGAGAGATACTGAATTTCACATAATTCTATCCTGGCTTGAAGGAAGGCAGTATTGTTCAAAACTTTTCTCTGTTAGAATTCATGTATGGGAGAAAGACACAACTCTTCCAGTTTTGGAGCTGTTCAAGGAATATCAGGGTATGTAGCCAAAAACCTGGAAGATAATAAAAGAACCACTTGCAATATTTCAACCTTTCCCATTAGCAGTGGGAGCTAATTTCAAAACTATGCACGTCTTTTTGCCAGATGATTTGGATCACTTGATATTCAGATCCCTTTTAACTGCGTATTCTCTTCCTCTGCTCCAATGCAGTATCATTGAAGAGAAATACATCAACTTGATAGACTCGTCTCAGCCACCTGAAACATAAACAAGTAATGAACAAAAGAAATAAACAATATTCAGATTTTCTTTTCCATGCATAAACTATACAGCGTGCTGCTTTTATCACAAGCATATAACATTTCCCTAGCAGAAGACAAGATCTTTCATTTCTCATCAAAATAAGAAACCAAAGCCCGCTTCCTGCTAGATACTGGGATATCGGTAAGTAGAGCTGTGGAAATACTTTGCTGAATTCTGTTGTAAAGCTTGTATTCAGCCCTCTCCACAGAGAGGGCAGATCGGAAACCCCCGCTTAACCATGCACATAAGGCCCCGCGTCACGCCGCCCGTGACCCGCGGGCCCGGCCGCTGCCGGGGGCGGAAGGGCGAGCCCCGGCCCCGCCCTCGGCGCTGCGGGCCCGCCATGGCGGCGGCGCGGCCGGCGCGGGCCCGGGCCCTGCTGCAGCAGAGCGTCTCCGCCCGCCTGCAGGTGCGGCCGCCCGAGCGGGGCTCCGAGGCCCAGTGGGTGGAGGTAACGTGGGCCGCGGGCCGCCCCCGCCGCCGCTGTCGCCGCTTCTCCCCGCGGAGCGGAGAAAGCGCTCCGTCCCCTCCGCGCGTGCGCCGGCGAAGGGAGGGTGCGCGTTTGGGCTTTTGAGGGGAGCAGCCTCTGTTCCTTTTCCCGGCTGGGCTGCGCTTCGGGCGGGTTTCCAGCCTCGTCTCGTTTCCCTTCCAGAGTACTCTCCTCGCCCCCTGGTTATCAGCAAAGGTTGCGGTCAGCCCCTTCGGTAGAGGGACGAGCAGCAGGAGGCGCACAGCGATTTCTCTCTGCTGCTCTTTCTTCCTGTGGTCCACAGAGTCCTCCGCAGGCAGAAGTCTCTTCGGGAGCATGACTGCTCCACGGGCACACACTTCCTTTCCTGCTGTGTTGTTCCTTCTTTTCTTAAATACACTTTCACAGAAACACTACAGCCTTGGCTGGTGGGCTCGGCTGTCGGCTTTGTTTGTTGTGTGGTAGTGTTAAGTTGGATAAGAAAGGCCAGGTAGGGCAATGGGACTCTGTGGCAGCAGCAGTTCTGATGTTGTCTGGGGACTTTTTTTCCAGGACACTAACTAAAAATGAAATTTAGTACGTCGACCATGACACATGTTAAGGGAAACATTGTATTTTCCCCCTTTTTCTACCACAGTCTTCTGCTGGAGGAGATGGGTAGGTCTGCGCTCTTTGGTCGATGTGCTGCGCATGCAGCCCAGGGAGTGCTGACTTGCTGTGGTTGTCATTGCTTGTAAGTTACCTACACTAGAAGAACTCATTTCTGCTATTGTCAACTATTTAGCCCATGGGATTTTTTCATTTTGTCTTTTGTCCTTTTTAAAGACTATTACAAAGGAAGGAGTTCAATGCAGTCACTTGCATAAATTTTAAAAAGTAAAAGTTCTAGCATTGTTAAAGGGTTTATGCATTCATTCAACACATCTGAAGAGAGCTCACGCTTTGCCTTTCACATTAGCCTTAAAACATTCTATTCTTGTTCAGAAGGGACAGGTGGATCCAGCAGAACTAGTTTCTGCAGTATGGTTTGGGAAGCCAGAATGTTTTACTGGGAGGAAATAGGTGTCATCTCACAGATACTGTGTTTCACAGATGTAGTGCATCTGTGAATACTGCATTAGCCTCTCAGTGTAAGGTTAATTACAATAAAATTCGCTTAGCCCAGTGTAAATTAACTATAGTAGAAATAATCTATTTCTAGTTTGCTAATCACAGTCGTAATTGTAGATCTTGAAAAGCAGAAATGTAATTTTGCTGTCTTTCTTTTAAACTATCTTTAAAGGTATATCTTGTGGTTGAGAGATATGAATAATTGCTGCAAGGAGGTTATGTAGTTTATCTCTCTAATTTGCAAAATCACTTGGAAAGTAATAGACATCACTAAAGGAATCTGAAGGAGATCTGGGTCATCTTCAGCAGATACTTTTCAGACATGAACCTTACTAATATTTGTCATGGGTACCTGGGGCTTTTTAAGAGAGGTCAGTTTTAACAAGAACTAGTCACCATGCAGAAAGAAAGGCAATTGGAAGTTCATTTTTTCTCTAGTGTGATTACTTTAGAGGTTGTTGGAAGGAAATTTTGCTGCTAACATTTTCTGGTAGGGTAATTTTACTCCCTATTTTTGCATGTCAGTGCAAAAACGCAAAAATTAAAAAGTACAGACATCATCAACTATTATTTACATCAACCTGTGTGTTCCTGATGTTTTATGACCAGTTAATAGTGGGACCTCACCTTAAGACATTTCTAGCATACTATAATTATGTAGGTGGCTTTGAATAGCTTCTGAGCAGTAAAAGACCCGTGTAGGTACTTTAGGAACTTCAGAGCAGACATTCTTTATCTCCAGAAAAGTTAGGAATATACTTTATACATTAATTTCTGCTTTCATGATTGAGTTTTTTTGACCTGTTGAGGGTTACTTCACACAGGATCTCTTGTTTATGGAGAATTTTGGTTATATACCCTCCATAAAAGGCTTAGGTATGCAGCAAAATAGGAATAAAGCAAAGGAATTCCTTGTAAAGGTAGGAGTGAAATAAGGTAAGGTTTAGTATCTTTCCTAACTGTGGGAAAAAAGAAAGAAAATGAATATTCAGCTAAAAAGTATAAGTGCCTACACTTCATGCAAGGAAAACTGTCTTTTCCCTATCTTATTTCACTTGACTTGTTTTCTGGTTACTATGGCAAAAAGAAGTGCAGAATTCTAGGCACAGACTTGTTCTGTGACCTGTGGCAGATGATGTCATCTCTCTCTGCTGCACTGCATGTAAGAAATATGAAGAAATCTTCCCAGAGGGTAGTAAATCTGAATTTGAAATGTCACAGAATAATTTATGTAATGTAGTTTCACAAACTGACTTTCTAAGAATTACAAAGTATTTCTGTTTTTATTATCCATTGCATTTTCTTGGAGGAAAAAGTAGTAAAAGGTAGAGATAGTATTTTGCAAAATATATTTTGATTTTGCTAATTAAATCCTGAAAAATACAAATGAATATATTTAGTAAGGAGGGTGAGGAAGGGGTCAGTTATTTGTTTTTTCCTGTTAAAAAGCAGCATTTGGAGGCAGCATTGCTAAGGCTGTCTATATGGCACTGGGACTGGGTACCTCAGCCTGTCATGATCTGGTTCAGCAGGTTGCCTGATCTGATGATTACTTATGACACTGTATAATAAATGCCAGTGTTACACAGTATCTTGCTTTGTTGGTTTATTTATGTAGGCATTTTACTGCTCACAGTAGATCCACATAGAGCACAGCTTTCCTGGCTGGTCACTGTGTAGGTTCCTTGCAGTGGCTGTTTGCACACCAGCATGTTGAATTTATGATCTTTTTATTAGTGTTATTTTGCTCGAATTTTTGTGCATTAAATATAGGTCTGAGGAGCAGTCAACCAGGCTTTGATAGTTTACAGAGGACCTGCAGCAATGGCAATGGTTTTGCTTTGGTTCAGAAAGTTTACATGTTACATTGACAATGAGCACAAGTCTTAGGACATCTGAAACCCTGATATAAGGCCAGACTGACACATGCTATTAAGAGGTTGGGTCTTGTAATTGCATTCAGTTTTACATCTTCTATTCAATTAAGAAAGCTAAAGAATAAAGTAAGACTTAATAAGGGGTTGAAACATGGCTGTACAAGTTGAACCACAGTTTTCAGTCATACTTGAAAGCATAAGTTTCAGCTTACAAGTAGCTGCATAGCTTTCAACTTTATCATGGTTGTAAAGTGTACTAGAAGACCATAAACATGCAGTAAAAAACAAGCATCCTCTAACAGCTTCAACTTGTCTCTGAATTGTTTTCTCATTTAACCTTCTGTCCCTCTAATTTTCTTCAATATGTATGTCTCATCTTGTGATAAATAGTTTATTCAAAAATAAATATCATATAAGGGCAGGGGTTGGAAAAATCATTATTTACTTTAATTAATCTTCATCTGTCTGGCCTTAGGACTTGCAGGGGTCACTTTACTTAATTTTTGTGTCTTTAAAATGAGCTGCTTGCAGAATATTGTTACTGCTGTGAGACTGTACAAAAAAAAGAGTTTTGAAAGGAGCCATTTAAAGCTTTTTTAAGTTTTCAGCATGTGACATTTTGGCTACAAAGAACATTCTCTTTTTTCAGAAATTAGTCATGAGAAAAATAGTTGAGAAGGCATAGCTTTTCTCAGTCATTGCCTTGAGCATTTTGTTTAATCTCTGCAAAAACGAAAGGACAAATCTCATGTGTATAGCTAAAATTTCTTCACCAAAAACCTTTATTACTTGGGGGGAAAACAAATAGAGGAATTTTTTAAAAGTATTTTTTGTAAACTACTCATATTTTCTATCCTTTTGCTTTGATAGCATTAATATTAGTAACTCCTTCATGTCCCAATCTGTTTAACATCTCTTTGGTGGTGTTTCACAAGTTAATGTTTATGTTTCCTCCAACAAAATTTAAAGGGTAGTTATTCTTGACAAAGCTTCGGGGAGGTTTCCTTATATACGGTCTGTCCGTGGATGTTTTGAGTTTTTTCCCAGAGGAGTTAAGCCATGCAGGTATACTCGTGCATGAGGCATAGTTGCTGCTGGCTGCAGAGCCTATCAGTTTGGCTTAATAAAGCATGGGTTGTTGCACATGCATTCCTTACAGACTAACCAAGTGAGCAGAAAAGCTACGTAAGAGTTTTCTTGTGCTTTCTCCTCAGTAGAGGTCTAATTCTTCCCTCAAATACATAGTTTTTACACATAGTTGCTCTGGATGCAAAATAGGTGGCATATCCTTTATACCAATCAGCTGAAAGGTTCCATTTTGCCAGTTAGATTTTACCCAAACTTGTATATATTCTTTTGAACAACTTTATAATATTCTGAACAACTTCACAGGTCTTGGTCTTCATATTTAAATGTTTTTTTTTCAGAATCATATTGTACTAGATTACTTTCAACATCAAAATAAAATTTAGTTAATTGGCAAGTCCTGTGGTGTTTTTCATGTTTTATAATTGGAAATAATATCATAGTTCATACTGAAAATTATTTTAGCTGTATGTTTGATAGGAAAAAAGCTTAAATTATTTCTTATACTGGATTTAAGTATACTTATTCACCTTGCTACCTTGTCTATGTTAATACTGTACACTCTACATTCCAGCTAAATTTGGCTTCATATGGAGCTAATAAATATCTTAATTGTATGTAGAAGCATTTTGCAGATAATCAGTATATATCTTATCTTCCACAGTGTGTTGTGTAAACTCAGTGTCTGAAGCTATACTAAATAACTAAAACTAGTCTTTGTTATGTGGTTTTGTTGTTTTTGATACTGTTTTAATGATAGGCATGCACCATAGATAATGAGAAACGTTGACATAGTTTTCTGTAATCTTTTGTAGATCCAGAGAGGGCTTGTTATCTACATATGCTTCTTCAAAGGGGCTGATGAGGATCTTGTCCCAAAAATTGGTATGATATAATCCATATGCATTATTGTATTGTTTGAAAAGGGAGAAAAGCAGTTGAGGCAGAGAAGGTAGCAACCATTTGGATAAGCCCTGAGATGGCATTATTCTAATTCAGTTACCTGGCTGAAAGAACAGTTTGGTCTGTCTTGTTTCTTTTGACAGTTTTCCATGTCTCTTTGTCTGTCTGTTCGTGACCGACCTAGAAAACAAATTCCCTAATAACATTCTGTCAAAGAAAATGTTGCACCTGCTGTTTAACACATTTAATGTGTTGGGCAATAACTTCCATCCAGGACAGAACTGAATTTCAAGTACTTCATGGCTTGATTTGATAAGTATTTTACCACTGATCTCACTGTGTGTGCCGGATATTTAAAATTATAGCCAGTAGAGGGAGTTGTGTGGATAATGAAACAGTGTCTTTCCCATCTCACTCCAGTGGTGCTTACTTAGACTGTTAGCATGTGCAGATTTCTGGTTCAGAAGCAATAACAGCTGTCTGTAATTCTTGTCTTCTTCTCCACATGCACTTTAACATTTCCATTGAAGCAGAGAAGATGCTGCAGATAAGGTCAAATAGTAGCAATTTCAGTCTTTACCCAGTGCTGTTTTGACTTGATTTTTTATGTTCTAGTTTTTTGGGGGGGATTTTTTTTTACTTTTATGTAATTTCTTCTCCCTCCTTTCCTCCGTCAGTAGCACTGGTTCCTTTGGAAATTCTGTGATGCTGCATATTCCAGATAAAAGTGCTCCAGTTCTGTGGCTGGATGATACTAGTGATTTGACTAAAGATTGTGTAACAATATTCCACTATTTCGGTTTATTTCAGGCTACTGTCTGGGACCAGCAGTGCGCAAGTACAAGTGCTATTAAAAATGCTGAGAGCAGCTCCTGGGGGGGTTCTCTCTTGGTCTTGGAGGGCACAGTCCTTTTGTGATGCTAAGTATTTATGATACTAAAATGTATTTTGTGCTAGGGAGAGTTCCACAAGACTATTGCTTGAGAATAATTACATTTTCAGCTGTGGGGCAGCTAAAACAGGCCAGAAAAAGCAAGTTCTGTTTCCTGTCAGGAGATTCATCAAGGACCGTCCTCCTTGAGTGCCTGTCTTAGAGAATATTGTTTCCTGAATATATTTTGAATCTGTTTAAGTGTGTGGGTTTGGTTCCTGAATCACAACTCAGCTGTTTTTGCTTTTAACATTAAGCATTTATGTTTAGGGTTTGGAGGCATGACTAGTATCCTCCCAGCTTTTACAGAGTTGGGGTAATGAATTGATTTGTTATAGAAACATCAGAAAATCTAAAATTAGTAAATACATTGATTTTATTTGCAAGTTTATATGCTCTGGCTTATTAGCCGAATTGCATCTGACCTTCCTGCCACCCTCTTGTCTCAAGTGACAAACTGGTAGCTGCATGTCTCAAAGTGGAGCGCTGAAGGATGCTTGCTCTACTTGAGACCAAATCATGGAGCTGTGCCTTCAGCTCACATCAGTGCTGGGTCCTGCTGCAAACTGCTGCAACCAGAATGAAAAGAGAGTCAGGGCAGAGCGCTCTCCAAAGTGCACTAAGGATGGTGAATCCTACAATGTGGAGTGTTGTGCAAAAGCTACCTATTTAAGTATCAAGCAATTAAGGAAGGCTCACTAATTGCATCCTGGGTTCTTTTGGGGGTGTCCAGCTAGAATCAACTTTAGGATTTTAGGTAGCCAATCACTTCCCTCCAAAAATAGAACTTTAGACATATAATATTAGTATCCTTCACATTCCTTACAATACTCAGACATATTAGTTGGTGAAGTGTTTATTGATTGTCCATGTTTCAGTTCATTAATAAACAGTTTCTTTTACTCAGCCATTTGTCAAAATATTTGTTGGATCTTGTTTATGATTTCCTGTTTAATTCACTTCAGTAATACTAACTCTTATTTTATTTTTATTTGCAGTTGATACGCTGTTGAATGTTAAATTAAGTGAAAATGAAAACGGCGAGTTCGTATCTGTTCTTGATTTACCAGGTGACATACTCATCATACCACAAGCTACCCTAGGTGGTAAACCAAAGGGAAGAAAGATGCAGTACCATGCAAACATTGAAAAAGAAAAAGGGTTGGAACTTTATTCTCAGTTTGTGACTTTGTGTGAAAAAGAACTGGCTGCCAATGCCAAATGCATGGAAGCCGGTGTTCTTGTCAAGCATGGCACATATGGAAACAGGCAGGTGTTAAAACTGGATACAAATGGACCTTACACTCACATGATCGAATTTTGAAAAAATAAATTGTATCCCAAGTACAGTACTGGTGTCTTTTGTTTGTTGTGGGTTTTTTGGTTTTTTTCTTCTAAGCATTAAAGTACTTGATTACCTTGGGAGATAGTTTAAAAAAGGCTTTCACTCATCTGTACTGGTTTTGCCAATCCCATTGAATAGAAGGATGCCTAAGACTGCCTTGCAATAATGAGTAGGGTTTTTTTGCTCATATACATCTGAAGTGTAGTCAAAATATTTGTTAATATTGATCCAATAATTCAAAATGTTTATCAGCAAAAACAGGATAATGCAATCATTTTTTACTAAAAAATAATAAAATAATTATTACATGTATAGCTTGAAGAACTGGTTTATAGATTAAAGAAAGAATACTTTAGATGTACTTTCTAAATTTTTACCTTTATGTTTTCTATCTATAAAATGACAATGCTTTCTAACTAACTAATATATTGAAAACAAATTCACTGAATTTTACCCTGTTAGAGAGTAAGTACTAAATAAGAAAGTCTTTCCCCCTCAACCAGAGTGTGTAAGAGTGGGAGACTTAAGGCAGTACAGGACTGATCATGGGCTTTGCAGTGAAAAATAAGTGAGGCACATCTAGAAACCAGCAGTATCACTGAATTGCTTGCTTGAAGTTTGCATTCTGAAATCTCTGATGTGTTTTGATAGGCTGCCTGCTATAGCTTGGTCTTTGTCCTTGTTGCTGTGGTCTTGCTGTCTACTCAATTCTTTCATAACAGAGCCTCAGGAAAAGAACAGAAACATTCAAATGAAAACAAAAATGAAGATGGTACAATGTACGCTGCCATCTCATTGTTCCCTCTGCCCCTATTGCTTCCTTCCAGCTTTTTGTCCATCGAAGCTGCTGGGCAGAGACTAGATTTCCTTTTATAGACAGTGTTGGTACATTTGGGGCCCCCTTCCCAGCTGAACCCCTATGCAGTTCTGTTATAAACATTATTAACAGATGGTGCCAAGAAGATATAATGGGAAATTCTGTCTGGAAAGGCAGTAAGAACAGAAGAGCTATGTTGAAATGTGGCAAATTCAAAACTGATACAAATGTGTTCATCCTGTGAATCAAGTTTGTCTTTTTAATGCAGCACTATGGTTCAGAAGGGTTCAAAGTGAAATCAGACATTTATATGGTTTGCAGCAATTATCCAGAATTTCCATTTGGATAGAAATTATTCTGGAAGAAATGTAAAACCTTACGGTTACTGAGGATGGCAGCTTGCACAATCCTAAATTGTAGGCCAGTAGTTACAAATACCCTGTCCTTATTTAATTTTGTACAAAACATTGAATGTATAATCTGTAGGCTCAAACTATGTCATAAGAATCACATTTTTTAATAGATACAAAACTTAATGTTTTGGTAAGAGAGTAATAAGATTTTTTTTTCAGGTTAGCATAATATATGCTCAATAAATAAATAAGGATATTCAATACCTGACAACTGACATTCTCACAGTTGAAAACAACCATTTACACAAATGGCCTGGAATTAGCTATTAGGACCAAAATGACATATTTATTCATTAATAATTAACAGTTATGACAGACACAGTATGAGTCATGTTCAAAGTTCCTACTAGCAACATTTAAATAATATTGTCCTGATGCAAATGACTAATAGAAATTCATTATGATCTGTGTGCTTGAAAAAACATTGTAATTCCTCTTTCTGTTGGAGGTCAAATCCTAAAAAGTGCTGAGTAATACCACTTTTCACAGACCTTACAGGAATTGTGGGCATTTAGTGTATCTCAAGGATTGATTCTTTGAGGTATAATACAAAGTCTGCAGCTTTTAATTTAGTTCCTGTCTCCAGAAAGATCTTTGGCAGCCTGGCAATTAATTCTCTATATTTAGAGAACTCTAAGATTTTGAAGAGGGATAAGCTTGAAAATGTTTAGTGAAAAATAGACTTCAAATCAAACTCCATCTCATAGCAGTCTGTCATATAAAGCACATGAAAACTAATGGACATTTCAGTGGTTTTAGGACCAGACAGACCTCTGAAATTTTTGTAAAAAGGTGGATATTTGTGTATTATCTGAATCTGTTTCTGATTTATTTGTGTATCCATCTTGGACTACTGATTTTTTTTATCATCTGTCCAGGCATTGGCAGCTTGTTGAATGCTGTGCCTTTTGTACTGCCTTATTTATATCTACTATTGATTAACAATCCATTTACTGAAGGAAGCCATTTCTGAATAACGTGCTGGACCATACTGATAAAAAAATTGATTAAAATGACTTCTTCAAAGCTAAATGCTTATTCCCTTCAGCCATTAATATATGCTTTAAACAGATGACCTGACTCTGCTTTAAATAGTTTATGTAATATGACTAGACAAAAACTCAGATAATTATCCTGTTCTATAATTAGATAATATCTATTAGAAGATGCTTAATATTCCCCACTTCTTGAAATAACTTAAAAAGTGAGGAGTTGCTCTTATGCTATTATGTCTCCGATTCAGCTGCCACACAGGAATTTGCAGTATCAGGTTTTTGTGACCTTGTTTGCAGCGTACACACCCAGTGTGTTGAAGCTGAGTATGTGTGGACTATGAACTGGCTCATAAACACTCACTAATGAGTTCAGGAGCAATAGCCCGTTTCTAGTCAGCAGTATTCCTGCTTCCTTCCCCTGCCCTTTCTGGAAATTTTTACCTCTGCTGCTACATAGAGTATGCAACGTATGAATTTTCAACATACAAATAGTAATCCAGATTTGGAAGTTAATGAACAGCATGTAGCCCAGTAATACTTGCAACTGTATTGCTACTGCTAGTGACGGTCCACAGGCCTTGTCCCAAGTGTTCCAAGAGCTCAGGATGGAGGCTTATTGACAGGAACTTTCCCCAGGCTTCTCAGAGCTTTGGTTTTATTTGATTTGGCTGTAACAGTTTTTTTTGAAGGACAGGAGGCTATAGCTAATTTGTTTTATGTGTAACCACATAACCACAATTGTTATATAGATGTTAATAATTTGTATTTCTTCTGTATAGAATTATATATTTAAGACTCTAACACAGTGTTACAGGGTACAGAGATATAGGTCTATTAAAACAGCAGGAACTTTGAGAAATGAAGACAACAACTCAGGGTCAAGTAGAGGCATGTGAGAGTAAGAGATGGGGCACAGGCTGGCACTGGACACTCCAAGGCTATAAACAACTTGCCAATGGTCAGTTGAAGAAATACAAACCTGGAGCTGGGCAAAACTATTGTTAGGGATTAAAAAAAAAATAAATAAAAAGAAGAAAGAATGAGTATATGAGATAAAAAAAGGATGAACTTAAGATAAACAAAAAGAAAAATACATAGTTGCAGGCCACTAAAGAAAAGCAAGGAGTAAAACTTTATTAGCAAATGTATAAAAAGAACCCCAAGTGAGTGATATTTCCAAAAAAAAAAAAAAGGAGATAAAGAAATCATAAACATCAACATTATACTCCTGCAGGCACAGGACTCTAGATGCTAATGATCCACTGTGCTCCCTGCTCACTGTGCTACAAGCTGGAAGCCACAAGGAGGTGAAGGGTCAAGCATGACACCAGGAAGAAGGGTAAGGATAGGTACTAAATTGTGCATAACAATTTTTACTGTACTATTACTATTGAGACCTTCTATATAGTTTCTTTATTTTTATTTCATTTGTTTTTTGCAATAATTATATTTGGACTGATAATTATTTTATTAAACTGCTACAGTTGCAATTAAAGTAAGTTTGGTGTGACTCTAAACATAGGGTGGATTTCTTTTTGCCTGCAACAAGATTTTGCACATAACAGTTTCTGTGAAATGGCAGCGACTTGATGGGCTGCTGGATATCAGCCAGCCTTTGTGGTGCTTTTCACCAGGTCTTTTAATGCATCTGTGATGTCTGATCTCATGTACCACAAAAGCTCCACAAAAATTCTTCATTGTGATTCAGTGCAACAACTCCTCTTTGAGAACAAACTTTCACATTTACTTGGATTTAAAAGTACGATCTGCTGAACCTCAGTTTCTCCTTTGGTATAAAAACAGCTTGTTTGGACAAGGAGGGATGACTCTTTTAAACTTCTGTTACGTTTTGCTTTTAGTTTCTGTTCCTGTCTTCTATATGGACTCCTTCAAATGCATTGTTTCTCTTTGGAAGCTGGAGTAGCAGTATGCCACAGAGAGTCTTCACAAATGCACTGGCATTCATTACCTCAGGTCTGCCACCAAACTCTGTTGTGACTGACTTAATTTCTTAAATTCTTTGCATATCAATTCTCATCTAATAAAGGCTATCTATTTTTGTTTTCAGTATCTTGATCCTTGAGACCATACGTGGAACAAAACAATGACTATCACTGTTTAATGTATTACACAGCACAGTGGGACAGTGTGGAAACCCAGGGCACTGGGAATATTTCTCTGTCTGCACCTGAGATTCCCAAACGATAATGTTTCCAGAAGTTCCTATACAATTACAGCTGAAAAGTAAATGGTGTATGTGGACAGGCGAAAGAAGCTGCAGTTAGAATAGCCCAAATATTACGAAGGTATTGCACATTTTCTATTTAAACCAATGCTGTCTTCTAGTTCAATTACTGCCAGTGTGTGGCTTTGAGCAAAGCAATTTTCTGCTCCACTTTTTCCATCTGTGATCTGAAAGAAAGAGTGAAAACGGGGGAAAGAGGTTTAAAACTACTGGGTTTTCTCCCTTTTACTAAAAGTAAAATATAATCTCTGATCCTCTTTTTCCATTAGAAGGCAGTACGCTTTTACCTCTCCTCACCTTTGTTGGAGCTACAGGAAGTTGCCTTTCACTACTTCCTACTTTAGCTTCTGCCACACAAATGTGACATAAGCTAATGTTTACAGAGCACTTTGAGTACCTCAATGCACGGTGTGGTATCAGTACAAATAACACCTCATTATATTTCTAAAATAGGAATGATTCAGACAGCATAGGAGAGAAAATAAATGGCATTTTTGTCTTACTGTTCTAGTTCATATGTATCTCATTACTCTG